AACAAGATTTTTCTACATTACCTATATTTTAGTATGTTCTGTGGAGCAGTATTAACATGCTCATGACGTTAATACTGCACTCATCCTGCAATTTATGGCAAACAAAGCCGGCCAAATTTTTCAGCCCATCATACTCGAGCTCATCCATTTTTTCCACTAAAACTTCTTTGTTATAGTCAGCTGATACTTCAGGTGCAATCAGTTTATTCGTTGATGATTCGGTTAGTGGAATGTTCGGAGTATCATCTTCCTCTACGCTGCAATACTCTGAGTATGTACTTAAACTCTAGGGGAGAAGTTGAGCCCTTTGCCTTTGTTCGTAAGCACTTTACTTTTCTGCTTTTCCCCATCAACAGATGTAGATGGTCCAGGTGATTCTAGAGAATTGGGTAAATTTTCCATAGGAATGGCATCATCTTTTAGAGCACGATATCTTTTAGGGGTGTAACCCAAAAGGGTATGTTTCAAATTGACCTTATAGGCACTTTCACAAAAGTGCTTAGAGCAAACTCTAGCGCTTTTTACATTGACTTTGATTTTTCTTTTTGTATGATGTAGCCAAAAATCACCAACAAATCGCACTATAAGGTATTAACCACGATACACGAGAACTGCAGTAACGTTACGACAATCCTGCCGCTGGTAACCACGAGCCGACAACTCTCCGGGTGACGTCACGAAGCTCCGCCCACATGCGCGATATCCTATCTTCAGTGTATGTTTATCGTGGGTAACTCGGGTGCGCAGGTCACGAATCTTTTGCCAGTTTTAAGTTGGGATCAATGGAACGTTCAAGAACAGATTTTACTGAGAATAGGCCTTCGCGCGTGACATTTAGGCCCTTTTTTCTACTCGACCAATTTAAAAGAAGGATTTGTGGCCTGGATCGAATCAGTAGGATATATGGAGAGAGAGACGCTGAAAAAATATAAACGTGTAACGACTATGAACAATCTCTGTCCATCACAAATTAGCACATTGTTTATTGTTATTTTTTAATTACCTGGGTGTAGCCCCTTTTATGCAGTCTGACCAGTGACTGGATCAAAATGTGCGGGGGACCATATAATCCCAAATCAATTGATTATGTCGCTTTTTCGGTGCTTTTTTTAATTGGATAATTTTATGCGCACAAATTTCAGACTTCTATAGTACGTAGTATTCCAAAGCACATCAGTAATGTTGCGTTGTTTTATAATTTTGTACTCACGAGTTTGGTACACTTAGGATCTGTTTTTATGATTGAATCGGTTATTGTAAAAAAATCTCTCGTCACACAATTTGAATTTTTTAGAAAACAATAAAAGCTGCATCAGAGACAAATTAATCAATTTAAGTACTTTTTGGCAGTGTGTTTAAGTTGATTGTTGCATAACTTTAAGATGCGCTAGAACTTTTAAAATTAATGCATAAAGTCTATATATACATGGGTCGAAAAGTGCGTGGCTTCCGAAATACAGGGTGTTTAAATTTACTTTCTAAAATACTTTTTTTTTAAATATTTCGAACAATATTTGATGTATAACAGTGAAAATTGGTATACAAAGGTTTTTTGGTACGACAAAACGAACCATGGGCATAGTTTTACTGTAGCCGCTAGAGGGCGCTCTCTACTGTACCTGTAGTGTATTAAAATGACCGAAAAAATTTTCTTAGTGCAATTTTTTGCTTTTTGAATAAAAAAACTGATTCTTCGCACTTTTCAACATAAAAAAGCTCTCCTGTGAGTTTTCGTTATAGTTAGCCGTTTTTTAGATATTTCGATTTTTAAGGTTCGATGCATTTTTAATTATTTATGATAAAATAACGTTAAAAAGTCATTATCTCGATAATTTTTAGAAGTAGGCTGTGCCTGCAAATATTTTTGAAATTGAAAGCAGAATAAGGTTAAACGTCAATTAGTTGACAGTTAGTTTTGTTGTCTGTTGAAACCTGAAACGTTTTTTGCAATTGTGAATGCACGAAATTTAGTTTCTTTTACCTGTTTTGTTTTTGTAAGTTTTATAAAAATGCCATTTTTATTCTCCAATCAAGAGTTAGCGGATATTCATTTTGTGTATGGCTTTGTAAATGGAAACGCAGCAGAAGCAGCCAGAGAATACGCACGAAGATTTCCAAACAGACGACATCCAACTCGCTCAGTATTTGTAAGAGTGCATCGCCAAATAATTGAAAATGGTTTTGGAAATCTCCAAAGGGATCAAAACATAAATGTTCGTCAGCGCTCATTTACCCGTATGATTCTGCGTGAGTTTGATAGAGATCCGACCACAAGTGTTAGGAGAGTTTCTGGTGCCTTGGGAATTTCAGCAAGCCATGTTCACCGTGTTCTTAGAAATGACCATAGACGTCCTTACCATTTGCAACCTACAGCCAGAGGACGGAGAACGAAGAATCAGATTTTGTCAGTGGATTCTTGATAGAACTGATAATAATAGGGAGTTTTTAAGTAACGTTTTATGGACCGATGAGCCATGCTTCACTAGAAGTGGAGTGTTAAATTTTCATAATCAACATATCCGCATGCAGTTCGGGAAAGAAATTTTCAGCATGAATTTAGTGTGAACGTGTGGATTGGTATCTACCGTAATCGACTATTTGGACCCTACCTTTTGCCTGCAAGGTTAAATGCTGCGACCTTCTTGGAATTTTTAAAGGCTGAACATGCAAATGGTTCCAGCTTGATGGTTGTCCAGCTCATTATTCGAGAATAGTTAGAAACTGGCTGGACGAAAATTATCCAGAAAGATGGATCGGCCGTGGAGGACCAGTCGCCTGTCTTCCACGATCCCCTGACCTAAATCCATTAGATTTCTTTGTGTGCGGATGTCTAAAAGAAAAAGTGTACCAGACTCCCGTAACCACAAGAAATATGCTAATAGATAGAATCAGGAATGCATGTGATGAAATAAGGCCTTATTTGAATAATGCTATACCACGTTCGCTCATTCGTAGATGTGAATTGTGTATTGAACAATTGGGTTTACATTTCGAGCAAATACTTTAGATTTTGTATGTTTGTCCTAACTATCCAATAGCATTTTAGTTGTAAATAATAAATTTAATTTGTTAAAAATAATATTGGAAAACTAAAACAAATTAATATTCTGTTTTTTGTGTTTATTTGGAGTTAGGAATTATTGCTGTGTTTAAAAACACAATCTAAACGATCATCTTAATTACTTGTAATGCCCAAATCGAAAATGTAAAAAAAATATTATTTTCACATAAATAATTAAAAATGCATCGAACCTTAAAAATCGAAATATCTCAAAAATAGCTAAAGAAAACTCACAGGAGAGCTTTTTTATGCAGAAAAGTGCGAAGAATCAGTTTTTTTATTCAAAAAGCAAAAAATTGCACTGAGAAAAAATTTTTGGTCATTTACATACACTACCGGTACAGTAGAGCGCGCCCTCTAGCGGCTACAGTAAAACTATGCCAATTTTCACTGTTATACATCAAATATTGTTCGAAATATTTAAAAAAAAACTATTTTAAAAAGTAAATTTAAACACCCTGTATTTCGGAAGCCACGCATTTTTCGACCCATGTTTATATAGACTTTATGCATTAATTTTAAAAGTTGTATCGAATCTTAAAGTTATGCAACAATAAACTGAAACACCCTGTATAGTAGTGTGCTGAAGTGGCCGTGGGTATTTTCCTCGCTCATCCAAATGAAAGGGTCCTTACAGAAGGAGGGCACTCTTAATCTGATCAGATTAGTACATAATTATGGCACAGCTATTCATAAAATCTGGCGGAGAAATTTGTACCTATATTTGTATTACTGCAAGGCTAGCCTTGATCGTTTATGTTTTCTACATCAACCACAGAATAAGTCGCAGCCCGAATATGCCTTCGTTGCGAATTCTTTAACAAACCCATTGAGAGGTGGGATGTTGAGGTCATGGGTGCCCGCAAAGGAGGGGGCAGGGACAGAGGGGTCGTGCCCCCTTAAAACTTACATATTTTAGTTTAAGTATGATTTTGTGTACTATTTTGAGTATTTTTATATTGGTATTTTGGTGTATATAACACATAAATATGAAAACAGAACAAATCTAGTACCATCTGTTAATGTTTTTGAAATGATTAGTACAAGTACCTGTCGTCGAGTATTGCATGCAAATACCACTTCTCCCGGACTTTGTTGTTTTTGCAATGAACGTGTATTACACTGTGTTATTTACAGGGGAAGGGAATGTATTAACTTAACAAGGTATATAGCCAGAAAACAGAACTACATTTTTTTACATTTAAAGGAAGCGTTTTCAGTTTTCATGCTAAAAAGATGTATCTAAGTGGCTTTTGAAATGACAGACTCAATTGTCACAGCTGTGGAACAAAATTACTGTGCTGAACTTGAATAAGTTTTCTCGATATATGGACGATTTTTACTCTGACTAAAATGAAACTTCGAGTTTGTATCTTCTTCAATCCTCACTCTTTGAATGTAGCTAAATATTTTTTGCGTGGTCAAAAGAAGAAAAACTTTGCTTTTGTTCTAAGATCACAAAAACAAACCCAAATCAGACGATGTTGCTGTAAACAGCTAACATTTTAGACAACGAACAAATCGTCAGCTTTTTCGCATTACCTTTAATAGCTGTTTTCATAATACGATTTTCATCATAACAACTTTTATCAAGTGTATGTAGGACTGAGAAAACCTACCACGTGCTTATATTTAGGTTTACATATTTTGCGTGTTAGATAAATCTAATATTTAACAGGTAGTTTCTAAATCAACAAAGTTGATTAAAAAATATCCATGCAAATCTGTTTTAATTTTTAATATATAACATGACCATTTGCAGGGATGTCCTTAAATGTAACAACGCGTAGGCGGACTACGTGGATGGCTAAATCGAGACGGCTATTTATTTATTAAGCGTAATATCATACATATAATAATCATGGGCGGTTCTTGATAATTTTGTAATTGATAGTCTGATTTTTGAATACTACAGAAAGCGAACTTTCTGCACTTGACGCTTTGGCAGCCAGCTATACCGCAGTATTACTGGTTGCATAGTATCTCAGAAGAAGTTAGGTTATATTTATTTTTGTATTTGTCAAAAGTTGTCATCACTTTTGTCAAAATTCTAAACAAAAATACTTCAAAATGTTAAAATCATCGATTTTTCAGGAAACTAAGCATTAAAAATGGGAGGATTTTTAATATTTTTACTTGTAATTTTTATTATATTCTTAACGATATCATGGTATGCTTTTGTAATAGGTGTTTAAACATCTTACCAAAACATCTTGTTTCAGGATTATCCCATGGATTATTTCATGGCATTTTGAGAGAAAATATAATATATCCCTGAATATAGGAAGAATTGGCTTACCATATTTGAAGCTTTGTGATATAAATCTATCAAAAAATGGTTTTAATATAGTAAGCTCTAATTGATTCTATATGAATGTAGTCAAATTGTATCCTTTTTAGCAAATTAATGAAATAGGGATTAAAAGCAGTTTCCTGAACTCTGAACTGACAAAATTAGTGACTCTGGTAGTAAAAGATGTTAGAATTAACAAGGACCTTAGTGAGAAAAGTTTGGATAATTACAACAGTAATCATTCCATTAGCGAAGTTATTGACTTTCGTGATAAGAAAGTGCCACACTTCATCAATAGTTTTGCTCAGGTGACAATTTTTCATGATGATATATGCCATATTCCTACCTTAATATAGATTTTTGCATATATTCTGTTTTACATTTAGCAAATAAAATAAAAATTATTAACTGTACTCATTTTCAGTTTATGTCTGTATATATCTACAATGTCTCAGCATTATTCTTGAAACGCTCAACATCTCCTGGTTGCTTAATCCATGCTGCCGCTAGTGAGCTACATTTAGATGGCAGCATTCTCAAAAATGCACGATCCCTTCTAGTGACAATGAATCTGATAGATGCAGAAATAAAAGTTCTTGCACATGCAGATTATAATCAGAAAGAAGCTAGACTTGCTGAGTTTAGCTTTGGCATGTCTGTGGAGACTGTCTTGGTAGCTCAGGGACCTTTATCGGTCGAGGTAAAATCTCAAATACCTAGTCAATGCAGGAAAAAAATATTTTTTCTTTTCTTCGGTACTCTTATTTCTCATGTGTTCTTTTAGGTACTACTAATTTAAGATCTTGTTTTTATCTAATATTGTAACTTATATTTAATGTTTCTAATATAGGTTTATTTTTAAAAATAAGAGTTGCTGTTTATAAAATCAACAATGATACAACAGTCATTATTTTAAGACTTATAACCAAAGGCATGCATGTAGCTCTAGGATTGCTTTTAGTTATATATCTAATAGTTCATTTTTGTAGACTAAGCACTTTTATAAACAATTTTGTCCTCAGTCTACTTTCAAATAACACAAAGTTACTGCTTAAGAGCCTACATTGTAACTAATTGTTTTTATAATAAAGGAAATCCTGGTCTACATGATTAGTAAAATCTAATTTTTGATCAGTGGTAAGTCGTAAGAATTTTACTGTGTCTGTATCCCAGGTGGTCCTGGATTTATGCTGGTTTTATGTGATGTTATATTGAAATTGTGATAATGGCTTAACGCAACTTTGGCGTGATATAGAACCGTTCAGAATGTTATCGCAACTTACCGTGTAGTATCGAAGGAAAGAAAAAATAAATCTACATGGGCGCCCATAGAAAGGTACCAGGTAGGGGACCCCCTCTAAGAAAGTGTGCTAATACCTGCTCTTCAAGAAATGTTTGGTGTCAGATATATGTTCACAAAAAGTTATCTATTGCTGATGTTTGCCCCCCAGGAGACAAATTCTTCCGAGCGCTCGTGATTTTGTTGCAATAGTTAAACAATATTTAACTATAGATCACCATATATTTAATGTAAATCAGGAATCAACACAAACTTGACATATTTGTAATGTAATGTTTTTTACAGAAGCTGGATGTTAAAATGTCTTGCACAAGTGTTATCATAAACACCGGCTTCTATAATTTAGCTCATCAAGGGTCTAAGAAAACTGAAGTAACTACCCCCTGTAGTTACTATAAAGATGAAGATATTTTTCAGAGGATTTTACCAGTTATACCAAAGGTAAACAAGTGAGTTTTGTGGTACCAACAAGAATCCTTGACATTATGTATTTTCAGAACTGCTCCTTGCATATAGATGATACCTCACTTAGGGGCATCAAAGATTCCAGTAAAATAGAGTACAGTTCATCCCTCAAGTCTTTTGCACTCAACTATAGGTCAGTGTTGTTGGATGAAAAGAACAGTGCTACTGGTGGATCATCAGTTTTGTTGAACTTTTTCATGTGTGATCTTCTCCTGCAAAACAGCAGGGAAAAGTTGATAGAAATGAAACATTTCAACATAGATGCAAAGGTATTTATTATTGTTGAAGCTATAATCACTTTTGCAATCAAACGATTTTTGCAGCTCAAGAATAATATAGTAAACATATACCTCCAACAAAATTCACTGCTACTGATGTATGATCACAATATCATCCATAAATGGGTGTGTACCAACTTTCCAAAACTTCTTCCTTCCATGAAACTAGAGGCTTCCAGAAAAATTTCACGGCAATCGGATTTTTCAAGCTCATTGAGTCACCAACACAGTTCAGCTGTCGAAAGGCTGGTACAGAAGCTTTCTATAAATTTTTGTGCAGAGCTGTGTCAGGTCCTAGCTGTGGTTAAGCTGAACGAACAGAATTCTTCTGTTGGTTTCAATAGGATTAGATTGATGTTAGACCAATCGCAAGACAAAAGAGGTAGTTTTTGAAAGCAACCTTATGGATTGATTTTGAAATTTCATTTATTTTGTAGGATATCCATATTCCTCTCGCGTACTCCACTACCTCCTAGGGGACAGACACTGGACAGCAGACTTGTTGATAGAATCTCTGTGGTGGTCTTTTAGAGAATGGAGTCAAGATGCAAACGTTTCTAAAGTGATGCATGTTTGGGGTACTCCATTGTATCTTGGCACTGGTTTAGTCAAAGTGTACACCACTGACAGCGTGGAAATTAAAGTCGGCGTACTTTTAGACACGATTCAGTTAGAGTGGTCGTTGAAATTGGCTGATTATGTTTTAACAGCATTGAGGTAAGAAATGTCAAAAAACAAGTACTTGATCTTCAATGTTAAGAAAATAAATGACATTCAACTGCTTTTTTGATTTTATGAATTTAAACAATGGATTGATACAAAAAATGCACGTCACATTTTTGACAGTTGATCAGAAATTAGATTTTACTATAGTTCTTGGCGTTACGTCATCAACGCCATATGAAATAAGTGAGCAGATCGAGTCTCCGAACCATGGGCGGATCTTAATTTTCCTAACTGAGGGAAACCGATTCAAAATTATTTACCAATCATAATTCTCAAAAGTCTTCTAATCTAGTACATAAACATGGGTAGAGTATGACACGTATTTGATGTTTGTTAAAGTTGAAATAGAAATACGTACGGAATTTACTGAATAATATTAAATAACACATCTATTTGCTAACTTAATGGAACATTTAACATTGGATGTAGATATGTGACAAGCTTATAATAATAAAAATATACATTTTGATGATGATGCTCTTAAACCCGAGCTTTTAAATCTATATAGCCTTAATAAACATCAAGCTTGTAGCTTCCATATCTATCAAAATATTTAACAATATAAATTAAGTTGCACACATAAAAAATTAAGAATTGTTTCAATAAAATGTATGAATTATTGGATTTCTTCATCAGAGTCATCTAAACTTTCTCCCAATTTATTATATTAGTCTCCTCCCTATTAAACACTTGATGCTTGTCCCAGTCGTTTTTAATCAAGTCCTCGGTATGTTTAACACTTGGCCCAAACTGTAGTAGTCACCTTCGCTAGACCATCGTCCCAAACTTTTAAAACTTCCTCGTCACCATAGCCTTTTTCCCCAATATGACGATCATAGTACTGTTTGGCTATTCCCTAGACCAACTCCATGGGTTGTATTAACGATGGTAAGGGGGGAGCCGAAAAACTTGATGTCCATGCTCATGTAATATTTCGTCAATGATGTGTCTTGCAGCCGATGGTTTATTAATGCGACATAGACTTAAAAGCTTTTTGTCTTGCAGCCATTGCTTCAATTGCATTTTAATCCAACTGGAATTGGGCATTTTTTCTGTTAAGGCACTATGATAAAAGGCATTGTCTATGATTACGCTGGTATCAGATTCTCACATACCCATGTTTTGAAAGGATCTATGTCCATAGAATCGTGGGTCGTTATATGTTGTCGGTTACTTCTCATATCGTAGAAAGTATTCCTAATTTCTGTTTTGACGGCATCGGTCTTGCATTTTTTTGCCATTTTTCCCCAGGTATTACTATGGCCAAACTTTTATTATTTTCTGATTTTATTCGCTAAACACTTCGTGTAATTGTTTAAAAAAGTGCTTATTTGGCAAAACCGAATTATTGGAATGAAACTAAAAGCAATCCTATAATGCTACATGCAGGAATTTATTTCTAAATCTTAAAGTAATGATCACCGTATCATTATTCATTTTAGAAACAGCAACTGTTAAAAATGTAATTAATGTCTATCAGCTATTGGAGATGCAGTTTGATCGGGGTAGGAAATACGCCGTTATTTAGTAGATATTTTAGATGCATTCGTTTTTTATAATATTGTAGATCATTTAAACAGTTTGGGCAGATTGATATGAAGTCTGTGTCTCCAAAACATGTAGAGAAAAGACCTAAAGATATACACAACTGGAGCTTTAACATAGTCGCTACACATGTTAACTTCTTTCTGCAATCCCAAAATCAAGGTAAGTAGGCAAAGCCGTTTAAGCGGTGATTTTAGGAAATGGGAGCTTATGATAATTCCGTGAAAAAAAAAAGTGTATCTTTAAGATTTCTTGTCGATACAATAGTAATTTATTTAATCAAGCACCATGGTATTTTAACTATATTCTGTTAGATTTTCAAATTTCTATGAATGTGCCGTAGTTTTGCGGTGTACGTGTGCGTTGTCTCTCGTCACTGTATCAACGAAATATCATGCTTTTATTTGTTTTTCAATTGTTTTCATTTTTTGCCCCGTCAAAAACACGATTATCGATAAAAAATCGACAAATATTTTATTGTGAAAATAAAATACGTGAAATAAAACTCGCCGTGATTACCTGCAGGGGTAGTTCGTAACTTGAAAAGTGGCATTATGTCAGTTTTTTTGACATAATATAGGTTTTTATGACATTACGTAGGTTCACCTACAAGATGTCAACTAGGAACTAGCTGTCGTTCTCTTCATTTTCACTTGTAACAGGCGCGGAATGAACTATTTACACACTACCAGCTATCTAGTCAACAAGTTGACATTTCATTTTTTTGACATTATTAAGTTTTTTTATGTAATAACACTGCATAAAGAATGTCAAAAGAATCGGTGCATTAGATTTCGAGTTACAGCGTACATTGCCTTCAAAAATCACGCCTCAGAAAACTGCTTTATTGTATGTAAGGTACAGGGTATACTCATCTGTGAACTATACAGGGTGTCCGCAAAGTTGGGGTTTTCCTTTACACGACGTGTATATCTTGAAAACATAAGCGATTTTTCTTAGTACCATATACACCAATGTCTTAAGGAAACCGAGATAAAGGGCTCTGCAACATCAAAAATATCTGAATACCGTCCTGTAGCCGCGACTCGCGACATCCCCGAGTGGTACTAGGACACTAGCTCAACCCGACGACAGAACTGGGTCGGGGTCAGTGTGTCAGGTCAGTATGCAACCTTCAACCGACGGTTACGGTCACGCGTGTAGAGGTAAATGAACCCGTATAATCGATTGCGTTTCAAAAAACAACAAGCACTAGAGACGTGGCTAGAGAAGTGCAAGTATCAAAAGCTAAAGTGTGGCAAACGCTGCGTGAAGAGGGGCTGTATCCGTTTCACGTCCAACGTGTACAAGCCCTTCAACCTGACGATTTTCCAGCAAGAGTGCGGTTTTGTGAGTGGTTCTTGCATCAACATGACAATAATCCGGACTTTTTGAAGTGCATATTGGTGACAGACGAATCTACGTTCACGCGTAATGGGGTGAATAACTTTCGCAACACTCATGTTTGGTCAGTAGAAAATCCGCACGCTGTCCGTCGGGCACATTTTCAACAAACATTTTCGGTGAATGTTTGGGCTGGCATGGTGAACGGTATGCTCATTGGACCATTTATTCTCCCAAATCGATTGGACGGGACGCAATACCTAGACTTTTTACGCAACATTTTGCCTGCCTTGTTAGAAGATGTGCCATTAAGTGTAAGACAATCAATGTGGTTTCTGCACGATGGTCATATTTGTTACCTCTGTTCGTGGTCTGCACCACCGCCGGCGTCTGCTCGGTAGCGCATCAGCTGATTTCATTTTCTGTTGGAGCGGTATGATTTCGGGCAGAGACGTACTTAGCCCTTCTCGTCAACTGGAGAGTGAGTACTTTTTCCTTTATTTTTTTTTTACTTGGTCGCTCTCGTTTCACTACAAATTACCTTTGTTATTTCAAGGGTAGTTGTTTCTGAAAAGGAAAACGCCCAACTTTGCGTATAACCAAAAAACAGTTCTACCAAGAGAAGACAGACAAGGCGATTACGTTAGAGGGAGATAGAGAGGAACCACAAACATGGCGTCCACAAAACAGCTGATCCACGTGTTGTTCGGTTTAGGTTTAGAGCACACTTAAATACCAATAACTTCATCAATTTTGCTTCGACCGATTTGAATTTTTGACACAAATGTTCTTGAGATGTACAAAAGGCTAAATACATTAGTCCTCGTAAGTCTCGAGCGTGCTTCTAGTATTCAATCAACTTTAAATTGTTTAGGTCCGTGTCCAAATTTTTTTGATGAACGCTTAAAATATGTTTTAGTTTTTTTCCGTACATTATGCCAATGTCGTACGAATTGTTGCTTAATACCGATGCACTTATCATTCTATAAGCAATAAGCAGACTGTTGGTACTATTTTTTCTTGTTTCAGAATACTTTGTGTTCAGGTTGAACACGATAAACTTGGACAAGTTCCCGAACGTAACTACAATGAAACTAGAAGAATTCAAAATGTTCAGTTTGACAGACACTGGCGACTATTACACATGCATCAGAACCGAGGATATTTCCAACTACAAGGCTTTCATCAAAAATATTCACATGGAAATATTGAGAAAGAACGAGAACCACGTTAGAGAAATGAGCATTTCCTTTTTGGATACGATAACGACATACTGGTCTACAAACTTTCATATGAAGGCTTTTCTGTTGGCGAGAGATATTTCGGATTTCCTTTCAGGTGTTAAAGAAGAAATTGGTTTGGTGAAAAATGATTCGAACAGGTCACATAGGGCGGTTTATAACATGAACATTTTGGGAATGTTTGAGTTTCATATCGAAATTAACAAGGAACATAATGCCAAAATTGCCCTAGGTAAGTTATCAACGATATTGGTTTTCTGAAAATGTATTTGTTAAACTAATATAAGTGAACCAAAATTCTTCCATTCTAGATGAGTTGCGATGGACAAGAAAAATCCACAAACACCCCCAACCTCCAGACATGAACCTCACTACCTCCCTGCGTATATCCATCAACGATGACGAAATTTTCACATTCAGCGGCATCGAGTTCAAAAGAATCCACGAGCACAAGCAAATCAGGGCTGAGCGATCAGATGCCGATAACACCTTCGACCTGCCTTTCAACAAAACTTGGGGAGTTTCGATTGATTTGTTCAAAGCTGTTTTTCCGCACGAGCATAACTTTGCGGAAGCGTATCAGAATCAGTTTGTGTCGATTTTTAAGTGGTTGAAAATTGTTCATGGATGGAAAAAGGATCGGAGCGTAGAGCAGCCGTTGCCCAGTGATTTGATGATCAATGTTAGTATCTTTTTGTGGTTTGAGCAGGATCTTTTTGCTTTTCGTCTGTGTGACAGTCCGCTTTGATTAAACTGACAAGTGTCGCCCGCCTCATAGGCGTCTCTCAGAGCATTAAAAAAAAGAATATCTTCAAAAAAAATTATAGGTAGAACAAAATTATCGGGGACTGTCTAAGTTAGTTGGTGCTATTTTTTAACTTTGCGTCAAAACCGTTGAATATATATTTTTTCAATGCAACTTGACCCGTTTGTTATGTGTAGGGAAAATATTGAAACTGAATTTTGAACCAGTTGAGCTAAAATCTTGTTTATTATTGTCATAGTAACCCCTATGATGCGGGTATCAAGTGAAAAGTTTTGAAGAGAGAAACGCAATAAGCAAAGTGACATCATTCTAAATCCAATATGGCGGCCGCCGGAAAATATCGTTTTATCATTACCACAGCAACCACTAAGAGAAGGGTATCTGATGATCACAATTCTTGAGGCGACGTTATTCTAAATCCAATATGGCGTACATGTAATGTGACAATTCACCATTAATTTTTGTCATTAGGGTACAAAATACCCTAGTGTGACAACTATGTGATTCCACAGAAATGTGCCAAACCAAGATTAAAATTGTGATTATTGTGACTTGAAATATACAGGGTGCGGCAGAGAGGACGGGCGTTTTTGGGATGGGTGTACTCTCCGCCTCTACGAGAGAGGTGGGGAGGGTGCTGTTTGACTCGTGAGATCCTAGAATTATTTTACCAGTTGTCGTTATGGAGCCTTGGACGGTGGAACACCGCGTTATCGCCTATGATTGTTTCGTCCGAAATAATGACTCAGTCATCGTCGTACAGCGTGAGTTTCGTCGCCACTTCAACATTCATCGGAATAGAGCTGTTCCCTCTCGAAACACCATCCTTCGTTGGGTTGAATCACTTCGCAGGCGTGGTGAACTGATCAACAGAAGACCAAGAGGAGCGCCGCGAACAGTTCGAACTCCTGAAAATGTTGAACGCGTTCGACAGGTCTTTCTTCGCAGTCCGACTCGATCTGCCCGGAAACATGCTGCTGCACTTCGCCTTAGTGATCGTTCGGTAAGGCTAATTTTGCATATGGATCTCCGCTTTCACCCCTACAAATTGGCCATTGTGCAACAGTTACAGCTCGGAGATTATGCACAACGAATGAACTTCGCACGTGAGATGGAAGCACTGATCGATCTAAATGAGAATCTCATTTTGTTTATGAGTAACGAAGCCCACTTTCACCTAAACAGCATGGTTAACCAGCAGAATTGTCGTTATTGGGCTAATGAAAATCCGCAACAGTTACACGAAAGACCGCTGCACAACCCAAAAGTAAAGGTTTGGTACGCTGTATCGCAAACTTGCATCATTTGCCCTTACTTCTTCGAAGTCGGTAATGGTCGTGATGTTACCGTGAACTCAGAGCGCTACGTCGACATGATCACCAACTTCTTTCTCCCTGAATTACGACGTGTGTGGTTCCAGCAGGATGGTGCGACCGCCCACACAGCCTAAGCATCCATGGACGTTATTCGCCCTCTCTTCCCTGGTCGCCTTATTTCCAGGATTGGCGATGTTCATTGGCCTCTTCGCTCCCCAGATTTATCCATATGCGATTTTTTCTTATGGGGACACCTCAAGGCTAGAGTATACGCGAACAAGCCCCGAACTCTGGACGAATTGAAGGGCGAAATTCGCGTGGGAGTCGCCCAAGTTGAGAGAGCGATGTTGGAGAGAGTCTACGCCAAGAACGCCTCCAGCACTGCATCAACGATTTCGGCCACCACATGCCTGATGTGATTTTACACACTTGACTGTCTCAAATGCTATTTCCTTGTGAAAATTAACTATTTTATGATTTTTTTAAAACCGTCCGTCCTCTCTGCCGCGTTCTGTATAAAAATATTTATTAGAATCATGTGATAAGAAAATAAGAAGATGTGTACCACACAATTAAAACTGATATTTCATCAATTTTGAAGACTTTTTTAAATATGACGGTGCAAGCGATAAAAATACGCGGTTTGAAAATGGCAATTCAAAAAAGAGCACTTCGACGAAATCTGATGATATATATTTTGCAGATAAAAGAATTTTTGTTTGAAATGAGCGATGATCCGTTTGAAGTAAAATTGAGAGACAACTTTGAGCTATTAGAAGATGAATATAATGAAAGTTTGAAGAGACAGAAGATGCTTAAAGAAAAGGTAGTTATTTATTTTCGGAAGCTTAGTATGCATCTTTATTGGACTGTTACATTTTTCAGATTTCTGATTTACTCAAAACACATCTTCACATGCCAGCTGGAAAAGTAGAAGAACTTTATGCGACGCTTAAAAAGAAAAATGCTGAAATATACGTGCAGCGCTCTAAATTGATGTACAAGGCTGCGCCTCCAAGAACTAGACTATTTGCTTGGACGATGACAGATGTGGAAATATTGGTAAATGATTGAAAAAATCCTCAGGCTAGGAAAAATTGAGAGTGAATTGCAACCACGTGCTATAACGAGTTTATTGGCAACACTGTGCTTGATGCTGCCAGCGATTTCATAATGTGAGCTCCAGTGTTGCCATTTCCATTGTTTATGCGAGTTGTCGTACAACTTTCGAAACTCTGGTCGGAAGTGTTGCTGCTACGAAATATAAAAAAAATAATAAAATGGAAAATTCAATAATCATTTTTTGAAAGGTACTGTGACAAATGATTGTAAATTAAATGTTTTTTTAGATTCTAGCAGATCCTACGATCCACGGTACGGAAAAGGTAATAAATATAATGCGAGAAATAGATCACGAAACTCCGTGGCCTGAAGAGCCAATCGATTTTTCTACATTGTGGTGTCGGGTTGTCTCGTTGAGATGTACAGAATGGAAATTCGTACTGAGAGATTTTCCGCAGCCTTTGATGGATATTAGAAAGTACTACGTGTATGGACAGCTCGTGGGTGCCGAACAGTTAGCACCAAAGAGAGGTATTTTACTATTTCCAGCATATTATATCATTTTGTTGAAGCTGATGCTTTCACGTTACCACGACATTGGAAAATGTAACAGCCGAAAAGTTAGTAATGTTCTCTGTGCTACATGCGTGGATTCAAGTATTGTTCAAAAAAATTGCAAAGAAGACCACCACAAAGAAGGATCTTCATGTCCTTTTTATTTCAATTGTTTCTCTTCAGGTATTGATTAGTGTATTTCACCTAAAGATGCTCAATTGAAGAAGGCATTAGAGAGCGACCAAAAGAGGATTGAAAATACTAACGCCACCTAACAGACAGTAGCAGAACCAACCACTCCAACCTCTGTCAATAACTTTCTCCATTCACTTTTGCGTTCTACTACTGTTTCATAGATGGCGATATGATTTATTAAATCTCTTTTTGGGTGCAGGAATACAGTATATTGTTACTGTTCAGATGGATTACGTTAATAAATGGTTCTATGCTTTCAAGGTCTTGCAAAGCATCAGTGGTAGTTATAAGGTTGGAGAAGTATTAAAGAAAATGAAAAAACAGTATGCATTTCGTGGTATTTATTAATTTGATTTTAGTTACTAGCTGCTACGGATTGGGGTTCATCGATGTTTCTGCGTCTTCTGCCAACAACTGGCAATTGTCCAACAAAGTCCATTGCCATGCTAGCATAACCCATCAGATCCATCAGGAAATTGATCAGATTGTTTACTAAGTCATCTGTCAGAGATAGATTTGTTGCTTTTCGTATACCACTTCCCTAAAATTATAAGCTGTCACATTATCGTATTAAAATTATGGTTTATAACAGGACATATTACAAAATTATCTTGAGTATGAAGAGAAAAGTTAAACAGTGTGAATATGTAGTTTAAAGAGTTTGGCGTTGAACCTACGACTCTGTTAATACATTCCACCAGTGAGTCTTCCATTTACATCACGCCAGCGTGTATGGAACTTTCAAAAACGAGTGCCACATTTTCCATAAAGGATGAGATATTTCTAGAGTTTGTAGTGTAACAAAAATGTCGAATGGTTAAGCCTTCCTTTACATTATTTCTGACAGCGATGCTTGGAAAAACCAGAGTAATTATGACCACTAAAGTGAACCGAGGTAATTTGGTAGTGCTGACTACTGAAAGTTATGACAGGTTGCTTATTTTTTTCGATTTTGACGTGAAGCTAAGGTGAAAATTTCATTAACTTGTTAAATTTCTTTGTCGAAAAGTTTCCGTAATATTTGTCTCAAAACCGGACAAGAAATTAATGGGTTTAGAATCATAAAATCACAGAACGACGAGAAAACACAAAAGCAGAAAAACTACAATAAAGGCTACCTTGCAACATTGCATATAAATATAACAAAAATCAGGACAATTTATTTGGAACACTGCCTAATTCTTACAATTCATTTGTGATCTAAAAATCACATTTTCATTATATTTTATGTTGTTATAACTTGTCAATTAATACCCAGCTTTACGGATTCCGGTCACAGCGCTGAGTAAGGAAAAATAACCTTACCAAATAAGTCCTCCCCTACTCTCCATGACTATCACTTATGTTTGGATAACAAATAACGAAGGATTGTCCCACTACTGTGCAAAACCGAAATAACGTAGATCATAACGGAGCGGCAAAAGAAGAGCACTTAGAAAGCAGCATCTATTATTACTGCAACTAACTTAAATGTTATATAGCTTTATTCACTAAAAAAATACATGATTTTTCGTTTCATATTATATATACATTTATTTGGGTATATTCTGTAATAATTGCTGTGTCTTCTTGATTATATCTAGAACGTTGTTTACATCTTGATATGACGGCATATGCGGTACTTGGAATTGTGGCTTCGCTTCCTAAAAAAGTAATTTCTGATTCAGTACGTCATCAGAATAATACGCGATTCTTCAGTACTTACCAATCAGGTGCTGACTTTTAAAAACACTAATCATGTTAGAACCAATATTAGACGAATACGTAGAACACATGCTGGTTAGTCACTTCTTTGTTATTACAACTCGGATTCTGTTAAGCCTTGATTGTATTGTTGTTCACGGAGGCGTCTTTAATAAGTTGTCTAATACTACAAAGGGTGTCCTTTTTCAACTTTTTCGATATGAAGCTTGCTTTTTACTTCTGGCTATAAATTTGATGCGGAATCTCACATATAAAATATGTCCCATGGATCATGCTTCTAGATTCCTTAGAGAAAGTAATAAAATAATGGCACCTTGAAACTAGCGACGATGTAACTCAAAGTGGTTTGAACCAAATATTCTTGAAACTTGCATCTATTAAGGCTGTAAGTGGATGTAAATCGGGCCGAATACACAAGTTTATCGGTTAAAATGCAATTAAAACAGCACAGTACACAAAAGTAAATATAGCTGTACTGATTCAGTCTTACTTTTGTATTCCAACGTACTTTCAAACAGTTTAGTCCACAATTTACAATTATTTGTTCACATGCAAACAAATAAATAATATTTGATTAAAAATACATACCCTCTTATTTTCTCCATTATTCTGGCATTTTACCAAAACCGTGGAAATAATGATTAACATTACCAAGAAAATCAGTTTTCTATTAGAGACCATTATTTTGCTTTTCAAATCGTTGTTGCGATAGAGCTGAAACAAAACTGAATAAAATAACTACAAACATATTACTACATGTGTGTTCTTGGGTATTTCAATAAAATATTTTATTATCTCCTTTTTCAATCATAATTAACCATCAATGCCATTTTGAGCACCGGCGCACTATTATGCTCCACGGCAGTGATTATACTTAAACGAAATAGGAAGAACAATAATCAAATAGTGATTATTGTAAACTATATCGTCATACGTATTTCAGTATAATAGATTTTCGACGCAGAAGAGAAAATTATTAAAATCGTGCAATATTTGTACATACTCGTATATGTATACATCTAATGACAACTTGACAGTTGTTGGGTGCAATTTACTTTTTCGAGTTCAAAATCCAAGTTGATCAGCTATGATGTCAAATACATTCATATCAAGTGGGCTTCAGAATAAACCTCATTAATAAATAATTGTTTGATCAGGGGCCCTGGAATCGTTTGTTTCCTTGCTAAATTAAAATTTTCTGATTTCTTACACATGTCAGCCATTTTTTGCAGCTATAAGAACAGTAGCCGTCCACCTGGGAGAACCCTTCGATCCTTACGTCATTGAAAGAGGAATGCTGCCATTGAAATTCTACCACGATTTCAATTGCGGAATAGAATCGTTCAGCTATGCGTTTGGTCCCTGTTGGGAACCCGTTATAGCCCAGTGCAACTTGAGTAAGTAATGAAACAATTCGGTCGGGATGGGTTTTTGAGATTTGCTATGAGAAATCGAGAAATGTAAAGTAATTTTCGATACAGGGTGTCCCAGAAGTCGACGTCAAGCCGAAAACGGGTGATAGGCAAAGTCATAACAGCTATCAGAAAAATATTTAAAAAAATTTTATGTACGTATGTGTTTTGAAAATTATAGGTCTTTGAAAAAATATAGAAATTTCACACCCTACGGCAGTCTGTCAACTCCTGTTACTACAAATATTAACTTTTTTTGTATTTTATTTTTACAATGTAATGATGAATAATGCATCTTCAAACTGGTGTCTCAACCTTACTGCCAACTTTTCTCGTTCAGGAAAAATTGCCACTTATTTCCCAACCAAGTATTCCAAAGTAAAACTTTGCACAACTTTAACTGGCTGTACTGGAAAAAAATGTACTACGAGAGTTTGGCAAGTAACCTTAAAAGTTGGCGCATTTAATAACGATTCCAAAATGGTATAACACTTAGAAGATTACTCGTTAACTTATGCACAATTTTTATTTGAAGAAAAACTGATGAACATTTTTCAAAATTTCCTAATTAAACAGCGATTATGAAAACGCACAAGGACCCTTAAGGATAACTGTTTGCACAACAGTGGGCGTCAAAATGCTGCTGATGATGATTTACCTTTATAGCAAATGCTCAAACCGTTTTCCTTCAGCCGCAATACACGCTCGACATCTTCTTAAAAAAGATCGGGTTATTAAACGAGCGAATCCACGGTTATTAACAAACTCAGCTGCTTCCAATAGTCTTTGCCGTAGCTCAGTTACATTTGAATCGGCTTGAAATAGACTTTTTCTTTTACAGTTCCCCAGTAAAAAAATCTAAAGGATTCAAATCAAGTGATCGGGCTGGCCACGGTATTGTACCAGACCGCCTTATCCATCTGCCTGGAAAGTTTTGATCGAGATACTCTCTCCCTGAGAGTGCATAGTGCGTAAATACTCAGTGGCACGTCCTCCAATAAATTTTCTAAATGATTTTGCAAAAAACCTAAATAAACCTCAGCAGTCAAAGTCTCTGGGAACTCAAACGGACCGATTATCTTACCATTTAAAATTCCTGTCCAATGGTTTATCTTGAAGCGATATTGAGATTTATCTTCTCTCATCAAATGTGGGTTTGCTACGTGCCACTCGTGTAAGTTATGCAGGTTCATGTACCCATCTTTCTTAAATGTGGTCTCATCTGACCATAAATTTTTTTCAAAGAACCGTGGATCTTCCCTGTGTCTTTCTAACATTGTGGGACAAAAAGCAACTCGGGGCTCATAATCCCGGGCAGAAGAGCTTGAACACGCTGTACGTGGTATGGATGGAGCACGTTTTTTTGCAAGATTCAATGGGCTGTACTTTTGGGCACACCTGTTTTTAGTTCTATTGCACGCACTGAAGTACTCGGGTCTTCTTCGACAGCTCCTAGCACCACGTCTTCGTAAGGAAGGAAAGATCTTCCCTCACCGTGTGATTGGTTTGGTAGTTGGCCCTCTGAGAACAGTAAGCGGTGCACATTTGTTAACACTCGATGATCTGGATGACGAGCTGCATTCGGGTACCTCTCTCAGTAAAGTCTCGCTGCAGCACTAGCGTTGCATCTGCATTCCCCATAAATGAGGGGCATGTTAGCATATTCTTGTACGGTGTACACGGACATAGCGGGAGTGCACAATCACACTATCAAAGATAGTCTAAGGAAAGCAAATGTTGTTTTGAAGAGCAATTGAACAGTCCAAATCCAAATCACAAGCGATCAACAGTCCAGTTCACGAATCCAAAATTAGTAACAGTACGAAATCAACAAGCACGAACATGTATAGATGCGCAGTAAACGAAGGAGTACTGATCAGTATCAAAGTGTGCAATAGCAAGTAAGTGATGTGCTTCATCCATACCACATACAGCGTGTTCAACCTCTCCTGCCCCGAGTTGCTTTTTGTCGCACAATGTTAGAAAGACACAGCAAAGATCCACAGTTCTTTGAAAAAATGAACTTACACGAGTGGCACGTAGCAAACCCACATTTGATGGGAGAAGATAAATCTCAATATCGCTTCAAGATAAACCATTGGACAGGAATTTTAAATGGTAAAATAATCGGTCCGTTTGAGTTCCCAGAGACTTTGACTGCTGAAGTTTATTTGGATTTTTTGAAAAATCATGTACAAAATTTATTGGTGGACGTGCCACTGAGTATTTACAGGGACATGTGGTTTCAGCATGATGGCTGCCTAGCGCACTATGCACTCTCAGTGAGAGAGTAGCTCGATCAAAACTTTCCAGGCAGATGGATAAGGCGGTCTGGTACAATACCGTGGCCAGCCCGATCACCAGATTTGAATCCGTTACATTTTTTTACTGGGGAACTGTAAAAGAAAAAGTGTATTTCAAGCCGATTCAAAATGTAGCTGAGCTACGGCAAAGACTATTGGAAGCAGCTGAGTTTGTTAATAACCGTGGATTCGCTCGTTTAATAACCCGATCTTTTTTAAGAAGATGTCGAGCGTGTATTGCGGCTGAAGGAAAACAGTTTGAGCATTTGCTGTAAAGGTAAATCATCATCAGCAGCATTTTGACACCCACTGTTGTGAAAACAGTTATCCTTAAAGTTCGATGTGCGTTTTCATAATCGCTGTTTAATTAGGAAATTTTGAAAAAGTTTCATCAGTTCTTTTTCAAATAAAAATTGTGCATAAGTTAACGAGTAATCTTCTAAGTGTTATACCATTTTGGAATCGTTATTAAATGCGCCAACTTTTAAGTTACTTGCCAAACTCTCGTAGTACATTTTTTTCCAGTACAGCCAGTTAAAGTTGAGCAAAGTTTTACTTTGGAATACTTGATTGGGAAATAAGTGGCAATTTTTCCTGAACGAGAAAAGTTGGCAGTAAGGTTGAGACACCAGTTTGAAGATGCATTATTCATCATTACATTGTAAAAATAAAATCCAAAAAAAGTTAATATTTGTAGTAACAGGAGTTGACAGACTGCCGTAGGGTGTGAAATTTCTATATCTTTTTCAAAGACCTATAATTTTCAAAACACAAAATTTTTTTAAATATTTTTCTGATAGCTGTTATGACTTTGCCTATCACCCGGTTTCGGCTTGACGTCGACTTCTGGGACACCCTGTATATTCAGGCTTGTGCTTTGTGCAATTGCAATCTGGCAAAAACCGTGAAAAGACCTATAGTTTTTGTTTTGTTGTCCAGGTTTTAGCCAGATATCGGCCCCTTCGAGAGATCCTTCACCACCTCTGACCTTCTGGGATAAAATGCGTCTATTGTTGCATGGCAGATTAACCATGGAAGTGAAACAGTTGACCGTTCTATTGCATGCTTCTTTAGATCCTTACAATACCACCGAGGAAATGGCAATCACTTGGGAGGGTGTAGCCATGGACTGGACAAACGGTGAGTGAATGCCTTAATCCAAAAGTTGAACCTTTCCATTTCAGAAAAATACACTAAATAATAAAAATACTGTCTGTTCGTACGTGGCGCGGGAGGGAAACGTCCAGGATAACGTTCTGTATACACTCGCATCAGCTGCATCTTGAAGGTCATCACCGTAAACTAACATCGACAAGTTCGTTATTTCTGTAGGATTTTCGGTTTTTCAAATCCGATTTATAAACAAACAGCTCTGTTTATCCATACAGCGCGATGCCTCGATTTCATACGTACTAAGTATCGCAGATTTTTCTGGAACCTAACAACCCGGTTGCTTGGAGACTTTGATGTAGCTGTTGGTAGAAACATTTGCTTGTTTTTACAAGAGCTATAACCACTGTTAACGAAGGTGTCAACTCGAGGAGCACTTGATATTTTTAGTTAGCAATCAGGACTTGTTCATATAAATATGTATTTTTTCAGCGAAATTCGTTTACAAAGGAGACCTTAACGTTTTCGTGAGAACAGCCTCAAAGTACGATGATGTGCAACTTCTCAAAATTCCGAATTTGAAACTGATCTTAGGAATCCAGTGGGTTTGTTTAGGTGATCCAAATGATCATCACAGTATTATTCAGTGCGCTCCGGATAAGATACCAGAATACTCCAGTAATCAGGTAAATTATCGACAACGTTTCATGTTGACATGCTCAAAATTACTATACTATACAATATTCTAAACAATTCGACTTTACTGATAACTGAATACAGTGTTGTTGTTGAGTACAAGAAACGTAATTATGCATAGGTCATACAAAGTGAATCTTCTTAACTGGTATAAGGTGATGAACTATGTGAATATTTTTTCAGGTCCACGATTCTTTTAGAGCATTTCGCTCTCAAAACGTAAACTTGAGTATAGTTTTGGAAACGAAACCGGTACCGAATGAACCGAATAGCCCACCGCTTTTGTTGTTATATGGCAGTACCCTGAAGTGGATAGAAAACTTGAAACTCATACTTTCAGGAGTCACTAGACCCACAAAACGAGGGAAAATATTCAAAAACGTTCGACCTAGAAAAGTGCAACTCAGTAGACACTACAGAAAGGTTAGTTTCACAATTTGTGTTCACGCTAAACCACGATAACTCAATACATCCAGACGTCTATTTAAGTTCCCATTGTGTTTTGTACTGTTGACAATTGTGGATATTTTGAAATTTAATAGTATGTCAGAGCTGTTTTGAAATAATATTGATGTAAATGTCAGTATTTACGTTTATTCCTGAGAGTCCATAGCAAATTTAAGAACTAGGCAACCTTGGTTTCGCTCAATAAAAAATGATTTATTACGTTGTTTCGGTGAAATTATTCGTCATTTTCAGGTTTATTTACAAGAAAATTATCTTGTCTCGTGCCTTAGCCAGTTCTCTTTATTTTGCTATATCACGTAACAAATAACTGATTTTTCTTGGATTGGTCCCCAAGATTGCCTCGTTTTACAGACTGAAATATATTTAATTCTTGGCAACGTGAAGTCACGTCAAAAAGAACTTGATTTTTTTGGTTGAGTCAAACTGTCTAAAATGTTTATTTTATTCATCGTGAAATACCACAAACAATATTCAAAACACTACTTACAACATGAAGCCCTCTTTCAGGAAATGTGGTCATGATCATTAGCAGCTATTTTTATTGGTTCGTTCTGATTGTATACCTGAACTTTCCTAATTAATTGAGGCAAAACAACTAACACAAAAGCATTCGCATTGCTGAGAAGTACGAAACATTTTTTTCAATATTTTAAATACTTCTTCGTAGTTCATTATTAGTGTCTGAGAATTTTAACTGTATCCGAATCGTAAAATTTCAGGTGCGACTTCTGATGGGGCTCCACAAATTCCAGGTGTTTTACTGGATGTCATTTTCGATGCAAAGAGGTTGCGAATTTTTTGGTGGCAGGTTGTCCTCTAGCTCAGGTATCTATCATCACAAGTACTCTATTCAGAAGTGGGTATCTTATCAAACAATTTTTTTACAGAGCATATGTTATCACTCATACCTTTGGATGATGGCTTGAAACATCGCCCCAAAGCCGAATGGTCGGTTGTATATATGAATTCGGAGTTGAACGATTTTGAAGTGTGGTTAAAAAGCGCGTACCATGATGAGTTCGACACGGAGACTCCCTCTTCACCTAAACCGCCTGTTGAGAAGTGTTATTGTCTTTCTGTTGCTAAGGTAATAGTTATTTGTATATCTGGGACGTAAAGTGGACTTTAGTGTCCGCAGCATAGAATTAGAGCTCAGGTTATCTTAAAAGCGCGTTTTTCAATGCCAGTAGGTTTGTCATAAAACGGTTCTTAACTTAAACCATAAGACAATCTATGGGTTAACTAGTTGTGGTCAAACCAGTGCCTTATCTTTTCGGTTGACAGTCACATGAGCTGTCGCGAATGACACGAGGCGTAATCTTCGAGCGTTACAAAACGGCATGTAACACGATAATCCAGACTTTGAAGCAGAGTTTCCAGATCAACAGTTAAGGCTTAGTTGACCAGAACTAGAAACACGAATTTACGGACAACAAACTTTGAGCGATTAAAAAATCGGGTCTTAGGAGTGAACAAGTGCGTGTGCTGAAAAGTGTGATTTAGAGCCCTCTTTTGGCTTCGCTCTTAAGTTCTAAAAATCTATTCATAAAGTACAGATTACCGCCCGGTCGTAGATTGAAATTGTTTTACTTTGATCTCATTATTTGAAGAATAGCTGATGATAATACTGGTCTAAAGTACGAATGTAATTTCAACTAGGTGTCATATGGTAGAGAAACGGCTTTCCCAAGTCAGCCAGGTGGCGAGAGAAATAAAGACATGCCGACCCACAAATTGGTCGTTTATGACTTACGAGGTGCTTGGACTAAGAGCAACAGGAACGTTGCTTTTGCTCTCTTTGATACCTTCATGAAAAATACTGTAAGTATAATTTATTATAATGTGACGGTTTGGTAATTATTCGTTGTTATTTATAGAGACTCAAGAAAAATCTGTCGACAGATGCTCTCAAATTTTTTAGAAAAGATAGCACATCAACGCCGTTGAAGAGAAGAAATACTGACGCTTCGGGTACTCCTACCAATACAGCCATCCAGGTATTTCTCACAAAAATTTTGTTGTGGTTGGGGTGAAGGAGTTAGATGCATGCATTCCACTTGCGCCTAAAGAGGCTTCCCCCACAACTTCACAGCCTAATACGTTTTCCCTTATAAAATACACTGTGACTAGGCGACCCTGACTGAAAGCGGGATCCGCCCTAGTACTTTAACACCAAATTGGCATCGGATTTGTAAATGAGCATATACAGGGTGGCCAATATATAACTGACTCATTTAAATTGCGCGCAATTTTTGATACACGCATTTCAGTAGTCGTTTAAAGCTCCAGTTCATCATGGAGTGCTACACGATCCCACAACGCATCCGTATTGTTAAATTTTACTTAAATAATGAGTCGATTGTTGCAACGATTCCGAAGCTACGACAAGATTTCGATCGAAATAATGTGCCCAGTGTCAACACCATTCGTCAGTTGGTGCTGAATTTTGAACAAACAGGTGAAGTTAAAGACTTGCCGAAGTCGGACCGTGTTCGAACTGTTCGTACTCCGGAAAATATCGAGAGAGTTCGTGAAAGCGCCCTGAGACGTCTACCAGACATCGTTCTCAAGAACTGGGTATTTGTCGCACGTCATTGTGCACTATTTTAAAAAAAGACTTGCATTTGCGGCCATAAAAAATTCAGTTAACCCAAGAACTACAGCTTAATACCCAAAATAACGATTTTTACCGACAACTGATAATGAGCGATAAACGGATTTGTTAATAAGCAGAATTGTCGCATCTGGGCATTAGAGAACCGTCGTGTCATCCATCAACGACCACTACACAGTTTGGTGCGGTATTTGGTATGGAGTTGTCATTGGAGCTTAATTCTTTGAAGAAGCTGTAGGTAATCCTCTTACTGTCACTGGCGAGCGCCACCGTGATATGGTGCAAAACTTTCGGGCTCCTCAAATCCAACAATTTAACCTGCAAAACATGTGGTTCCAGCAGGACGGAGCAACTTGTCACACAGCTAGGGAAACAATGAATCTGTTGCGAACAATGTTTCCGGGACGTTTAATTTCTCGTTTTGGTGATGTCAACTGGCCAGCAAGGTCACCGGATTAAACGGCTCCTGACTTTTTATGGGGATTTAAGAAAAATAGGTTTAATGTGAACAAACCAAATACTGTAGAGCAGCTGAAGAAAAATATTACTAGAGGCGGACATTTGTCTGATATTATTCTTCATACATAATTTCTAAGTTTCCATAAAAGATTAAGATGAAAATAATGGAAGTATTTTATTGCATTTCCCAAAGATACAAACCAGTCAGTTAGATATCGGGGCCACCCTGTAGTTAGCTACAGCGCCATCTACGAGGCACTAACCTTGTCAAAGTAGATTTCAAATTATTGCGGAGAGGAAGAACAGGGCTGTGACAAATTGTTATAGATGACACGCCAATATATATCATTTCATCTCGAACAATTTTTGATATAATCAATGCAAACTCACTTTAGTGTCATTTTTAATAATCTTTAATGTACGAAAAATATTTATCGCTTAAATTTTTTCAGACTATTCAGACATCATCTGCGGTTCAAGACTCCTCTTCACCAATGAGCAAGTTGCAATCCGGCCACGCGGCGAATATGCTTCAACAGTTGATTGCAGAAGTTGACAATAACGCCGTAGTTTACAGCGACGACCTGTCAGCTGTCTCGAGACAACCGCATTTGCAAGGACTACAGGCATGTCAGGAGGACGACGTGATGCACAAAAACTGGCAAAGTAAGAACTCAATTGGGAAGATATAGATTTATTCAACATTCTATAAACGTCTAAAAAACTCGTTATTTTTACTGTTGGGAATTCATAAATAGTTTGAGATACGACATCGGGTTAAGTTCGTAACCCATACTATCTCAATGTTAGCCCACCAAGTAAGGATGAAAATTGCTTTAAGATCAACTAGCCTTAAAATACTCTTCTAGATGTTGTACAGTAAGGTTTGAATTTTAAGTCATTTCACAACCTCAAACATATTAATTTTCCAAATAGTTATCATGACTCTGTGTGTCGCCTAAACGTCAAGTGAGCTATGTGCTGTGGTTCTGATTTGATATAACATTTGTTTGTTTCAGATTTATTTAGCATTAATGCTACAATATCCATAATATCCATATTACACAGTATATCACAAATCCAAAACGGACGCAGGAAAGTAAACGCATATTAAAACAAGAAAGATTGATATTCAAATCAAGTTGGGTACTTTATTTTGAAGGTTCATTTATATAAGTATGAAAAGTAATATCGCTCAAATATTCACCACGACTGGATTTACAGACGTCCACGAGATGGTCGAAATTTTCAATCACATTTTGCAACATGGTCGGTTCTATGGCATTTATCTCGGCAATGATGTTGTTTTTGAGTTCTTGGAGGGTGGCTGGTTTGTTGACGTAGACTTTGCTTTTTAAATATCCCCATAAAAAGAAGTCCAAGGGAGTCAAATTGCACGATCTTGGTGGCCATGGCACATTTCCTCTGCGCGAAATCACGCGATCACCGAAGAAGGACTGCAATCGATGGATATTGACGTTGGTTGTGTGGCATGTCTTGTTGGAAATAAACATCGTCCATATCCATTCCTTCAAGTTGCGGCAAAAAATAGTCCTCTATCATCACGTGATATCGCTCAGAATTGACGGTAACGGCGTCCCCGGCCGCATTTTCGAAAAAGTAAGGTCCGATGATGCCGTTTGACCACAATGCACACCACACAGTCACTTTTTGAGGCTGCATCGGCTGCTCTTGATACTCACGGGGATTTTCGTTCGCCCAGATGCGGCAGTTTTGCTTGTTTACCGCCCCATTCAAAGTGAAATGCGCTTCGTCGCTGAACATGATTTTTGATGAAAAATTGGCATCAATTTGGCGGTGTTCAAGGAGCCAATCTCAGAACATTCGGCGCGAAAAATGGTCGGCCCGACGCAGCTCTTGCGTCAATTGGATCTTTTGGGCGTGTACATTCAAATCCTTGTGGAGAATGCGGAGCAAACTGGTTCTCGAAATGCCCAATTCTTGGGATCGACGCGTTGTTGATTGTTTCGGATCGTCTCTCACACTCTCCTTCACAACAGCAATATTTTCCGGTGTGCGAACACTCCTTGGCCGGCCAGAGCCTGGCAGATTTGCCACAGAACCTGTTGCCTCGAATTTACGCACCAGACAACCGATGGTTGTTTCGTTTGGGCGGTTGTTGCGACCGAAATGTTCAGGAAGCGCGCGAAACGTGTTTTTTATTTTTGCACCATTTTTGTAGTGCTCTTGAATAACTTTAATGCGGTCTTCAATCGAATACGACTCCATAGCGATCAATGGTAAACATTCAACTAACAAAATGACATGTCGGTGACAGAAAACAAAGATGGCGTCTATGTCAAATTGACGTTTACTTTCCTGCGTCCCTATTGGACAACCCGATATTATGTCTTCAAGACTACATATTTTTATACAAAATTTCACTACTATGAATTCTGGTTTTCCATGAGACATTTTTTCATTTTCCATTTAAACATTTTCAAACTGACACACATCTTGATATCATTACTTAATTTATTAAATTCGTACAATCCCTTTTGAAATACGGACTCGTTATATTGCTACTGCAGTTTTGTAAATGAAAGTCTATACTTCCTCTAGTAGAATAATTGTCTCACACATTGTTCAATACAATAAAATTTTCTAAGTGATTTGGTAGAAGATGATTTTTTAACTTGAATATGAAAATGAAAACCAAGTAGGCTATGAAATTTTTGATATTTAACCATTGAAGTTCTTTCAGCATAAAATTTATTCTAGTATATTTAGTTTTATTTAAGATAATTCTCATAGCTTTATTTTGTAATATTTGTAATTTTGAAAATACAGTTTCATTTGCAGTGAACAAAATAGTCGAACAATATAACAAATGAGGAAAAAAGATAGTGTTGTACACAATTTTTTAGAATAAACGCTTAGGCTACGCGAAATTCTATAAAAGTCATTTATTTTCTTGGATATTCTTGAAATAATATACTCATAGTGCCCTTCAAATTTTAATTTACTCTCTACGTATATGCCCAAATATTCAAATGATTCGATTGACACAATTTATTCATGATTTATTGTATTTTGATCTAAAGATTTTCCTTTTATCTCATATTTTGTTTTGTTTGTGTTTAGTTTAAGTTTATTTACATTTAACCAATTTATTACATTTTTCATATCATTATTTATACAGCTCTATTGCAGTTTCAATGTCTTTATTTGATATATATATATATATATATATATATATATATATATATAGTAATGTATCATCAGCAAATAGTTGAATTTTGCAGAGTTGTAAAATATCAGGAATATCGTTAATATATAAAGTAAGTATTGGACCTAATTTGCTACCCTGTGGCACTCCTACCGAAATGTTTTTAATGTTTGATAATGTATTGCCAATTTTAGTTCTTTGACCTCTATTGATTAAATAATTTTGTAATAAGTTGAATACTGAACCTTGAAATCCATAGCAATGCAATTTCGTTAACAATTTCTCCGTGTCAATAGTCTCAAATGCTCTCTTGAAATCTAAGAACAATGTTACTCTAAACTTTTTTTCATCTATATTTCGCCTCAATTCTTCTACTACCATTTGAATTGCTGTTTCAGTAGAATACTTTTTTAAGAATCCTGCTTGAAATTTTGTCAATATCTTATTTTCTTCAATATATTCAATGATTTGTTCATATATCATTCCTTCTAAGAGCTTTTCGACATCTGGCAGTACATTAATTGGCCGCATGTTTATATATAAGTCATAATTTTGCACTTTTGGAACAGGAGTAATAGTAGAACATTTTAATTTTGAAGGAAATTCGCAATGCACCAAACAGTGATTCACATCTGAAATAAAATGGCATTAACTTCTATATTATGGGTCGTTGTCTCTGTGTTTTTTCGTCGCTAAAATCATACCTTAATTCAAATATTTTTAAATTATTTTCAGTTACATTAGTGAACGCTCAGGTGCTCTTAAAAGGTTGTGAGACAAAAGGTTATATAATTATAAGTGCAGCAAAGGCAGAAATTATCCAAAGAATTCACAGACCGGCGTGGAAGGACAGAACCTTGGTGTCAAAGACTACCTGGGTTGGAAGTCTTGAATGCATGCAGTATTATGCTACCGTGAATGCGGGAGGGGAGAATGATACAGCTAACGGTAAGTAGGCGATAAAGAAATTAAAACTATAAATGAAAAATCATTTTCAAAATTTTTGATGTATGCGTTGGTTCAATAAACTGTGACTTGTGACGTGAAATTTCAATGGATTTAGATCTAGGAGAGACAAAGAAATGAACAATTGCAACTACTACCACGTGCGTCTGGAATTCGATCAAATAATACTTATTGTTTCTTTCAGAAAATATAATGTGGTTAACAATTGACAACATACAAGAAAAAGAATCTGCACCAATTTCGGAACCTTCGGAGGTCCCTAATATGGTAGGCAGTGGAGTTTCAGTGGGAGCGGTTGTGAGCGATACTGTTGGGGCTAGCAACTCAAGACAAGTATGTATCTACCTGTTTAAAGTTTTCTTCGCAGATGCCAAACATTTATTCAAGTTTCCTGTAAGAAATTTGCCGACGTTTCGGAAAAAATTCCTTCTTTAGGGCTCTACAAAAAATTTTTTTAAAAAACTGTAATGAACAATTTGAATAATAAACTCGAAGTAAAAGATACTTATTTTCGTTAAAACAAAACAAGCTATTTAAACTCATTATCGAAATTACAGTAACAATTTATTCACACAAAAAAAAACAAAGACAAAAATGATCTTTCCGTGTTTATTCGTTTTTTGAATATCAATGTAATTATTTTATCTTTACCATTACCATACCATACTACATACAATACACATGTGAGGACTTACAAACTAATTTATTAACTATCCGAGTGACGTCATAGCATAAACGTACTCATCAACTGTAAGAAACAGTGATTAAGCAGTGTTTCTTTACAAACTTTGAGAACTAGCGACTAGACATATTTTCAAAATTATGTTCTTTATTTGTATTGACGAATAAATTATGTAATTTAACGTTATTTGAGTATGAATTCCTTAGGTAATTAACATTACGTAGTGCATGAGTGGGTATTTCTGAATATATATATATATATATATATATATATATATATATATATATATATATATATATATATATATATATATATATATTTGTTTATATTTCTGTGCACATACATAGGACTTCAAAAATATAAATTGATGGAAGCGGCAATATTTGTAAATTTTTGAAGTGATTTTTGGTCAGGACTAGGCAGTAAGGCGGTATCGTCTGCAAATACGGAGCAGGATCCGTTATCAACACTCGAGGGTATGTCATTGATATACGAGGTTTGTCCGGAAAATACGTATAAATAATTCGGGGCGTCGTGTCAAGGCGTTGTGGAGGGATGGCCCGGTGGTTCCCTATCTCTATGCAATCCCCTCTATGCTCAGTTCGAGCCGGAGCGCTCTGCGAGTAAGTAGGATTTACGTGTGCTTGTTGAAAGTAACCCTTTTTAGCTAGGCAAGAATTGTCGAGAGATTTTTGAGGAGCAACCGTCAACAAGTGGTTGAAAAGGTTTCGAGAAGGCCGAGAATATGTGAAAGATGACCAACGCTAAGGACGCCCCTCCACATCGAGCTCAGAGGGAAATGTTGAAAAAATTCGGGGCTGTGTTTTTAAAGACCGTCGATTTACAGTTAGAATGTAGCTGAGGAACTGTCAATCCCCAAATCAATCGTCCACGAAATTCTGACAGAAAAACTTGAAAAGAAAAAATTGTGCGCGAAAATCGTTCCGACGCTCTTGACTCCAGAACATGAAGCAAGGAGGGTTGCTTGCTGTGAGGATTGGTTGGAAGCAGAGGAAAGAGGGGACTTTCTCAACCGGGTCATCATTGGAGACGAGTCTTGGTTCTACGAATTCGATGTGCAGCTGGAATCTCAAAGCATGGAGTGGAAGCAAGCAGGGGAACCGAGAACAAAAGTTGAAAAAATGGAGGTCCAATGTGAAAATAATGTTGATTGTTTTCTTTGATTCTCGGAGCATTGTTCACCAAAAATGTGTCCTTCCTGGCCAGACAGTGAACGGAAATTTCTACATTGAAGTTTTGGGAGGTCTCAGAGCTCGTATGGCCCGAGTTCGATCGGATTTGGCACAAGGGGGCAGGTGGATCCTTCATCACGGCAACGCCTGCTCACACGTCTGTTGTTGTGCGTGAGTTTTTGCCACGAAGCTCAATCACTGTGACAGAACACCCGCCTTATTCACCCGATTTAGCCGTTTGCCAACAGTTGAAACGACGTTGGCAGAAATGCATCTTGTCTCAGCAGAGGGGGAGGGGAGAGGAGACCATATTGAAATACCTGAACAATTGCAAAATAAAGTTATTCCACTTTTATACGTATTTTACGAACAAACGTCGTATATTAGAAATAGCAGGGGGCTAAGTACTGATCCCTACGGTATCCCGTTGCAAATAGGCAAACGGCCAGAGGCAGTGCCCTCGGAGCTTACCAACTGCTTTTTATTTGATAAATACGAACGAAATAGCTTGAAATTGGCTTTATGAAAAATAACTGGAGTCTATTTTCAGTTGCAACGTATCGTTTCCCGTTGTAAATGCGAATTCTTCTATGCTGACTACGGTGACATAAGCGTGGACCTAGAAGCCATTGCTGAGATTCCACCTCCACCTCAAGAAGAAGTTGGCCCGTGGGAGAGTAAACCTTCAGCTGTGGATGCTTTCACTCTTATGCATCATGATTTGGATGTGTGCACGAATTCCTTACAGGTAATACATTTTTTATAAGGATTTATTGTAAGACAATGATTTTTGGAAAATGCTTTTTTCATTTTTATAATTTACTGTATGGTAATACTAGCACGATATTTTTATTATTTTAGTATGCTATGTTATTGGATATAGTGAATAACCTGCTACTATACGTGGAACCTACAAGAAAAGAAGCATTGGAAAAACTTGCTAGAATGCGATTCAAGCTGCAACTACAGACTATGGAAGATCAGAGAAAACCGATCCAGAATAAGCAAATGGTAATATGTTAGAAATATTTTAATACAACATTTTGATATATCAATTTCAGGAAGTAAGAACATTGCAAAGCAAACTCCGAAGATTGGAGAAAGAAAGCTATCTTGTCAATAAAGCTTTAGAAGAAAATCCTGACGAGGAAGAATTGATCGAGTTGAGACAAGATGCAGAGAGATTGGAAAGGCTGGTATGTTTTTTCACTTTGATCAACTGACAATTTTTACCTAAGGGATCACGTTAAAAATTTGAGATTTTTCCTTGAATCCAACAAAAAAATGATTAGCCACCTAAGAAATCAATAATTTGAGGAATTCTTTATTACCAAAAAAACAAATAAATAAAATAAACAAATACAATTATATTTTGAATTAGGTTCAGTCCTCACTATCGTTTTAGATGAACGAGTGTAAAAATCAGCTGAATACCCAAAGTGAAGAACTAGACTTGATGCTTTCCTGTTACAAGGAATCACAATTGCTGGCAAATGCTAGACTAGCAACTACAAGAAGTGATAAACCATTGACTATAGTTAGAGCAAACGAAATATGTTTTAAACATGCCCAGTGGAGATTAACAGAGGCAGACGGTCAGATCGGTATTGCCGATTTGGTTCTCAGCAACTTTTTGTGAGTACAAATAATAAAAACTGGTATCAGAAGACAAGTTGAAAAATGCTAAACTGTGGCATCAGTGTCCTAGTTATTCATTGTTTTTTTTGTTTTATTCACTTTGGGACTGTGTTTAATGGATTAAAACGGGTGTTGATAATAATAATATAAGTTGAAGTTATTGATATTAACGTTTGCATATGTATTTTAAAAACCTAACGACGGTGAAACAAACATAGGACAAGAGTTATTCATAGTCCGCGGTATGCTATTATACATATAGTTTAAGCCTACATTTTGACTGTTCACACGATTTCAGATATACAAAGAATTCAAAGAGTGACGATTCTGTTGAACATTTGCTGGAGTTAGGATATCTAAGGATGACCAATCTCCTCCCAAATGAGATCTACAAAGAAGTGCTGTGTCCTACTGAAATTCAGTATGACATGCCCATAGAACATAAGGTAAAAATAGATCTACAGATGTGAACAAACTGATCAGATTGAGCCTTGAAGAACTTTGAGAGAAACACATGCTTGGGTTTTAAATTATTATACATTTCTTTTTTTTTAGAAAGTTCTGAGAGTGTTCTGTAGAGAACGTCCACCTGTGGGAGGTATATCAGTCAAGGAGCATTTCGAAATAAATTTAGTTCCTTTGACTATAGGTATGGTTTTAAGTTGAATCTTAACAAAACATCGGTACTATTTTTAGAAAGTTTTGTTTTAGGGTTGACGAAAAAGTTCTACAATACAATGATGAAGTTCTGTTTCCCTGAAAGAGATGAGACTTCAGATTATAACGACAAGCCTACCGAAGAGGAGGTAGAACAGAAAGGGAAAAAGATAAGGTCAAGAAGAAATCGGGATTCTAATTTTTATGTACATATAGATGACGTAGAAAAGATGAAGGTAATAATAGATGTTTAATTTTTCTTTTATATTATACTAATGAAGGCATAGTAGGTGTACGTCCGTCTATAATTTTTGATAGTGTAGTGTAGAGCAATATTAGTTCATAAGCCATCTTTGCTTTGGATTCCTTGATCTTGATTATCTTTTCTTTGTAGGAAAGAGCAGAGAAAAATAAACTTTTTGTCTACATAAAGATTCCTGAAGTTCCAGTGAAAGTGAGCTATAAAGGCAACAAAGAGAAAAATTTAGAAGATTTAAGAGACTATTCGTTAGTTATACCTACACTTGAATATCATAATATGACGTGGACTTGGTTAGATTGTTGATGGCTATCAGGAACGATAGTAAAAGAGTAATCCTGTCGCAGGTATGTACAAATGGATTTTTATGGAATATGAAATTTTAGTACCTTATTATTACCTTAGGCAATCAAACAAAAGTTGCAAATAAAGAGAAATACAGGATCATTGGACGATTGTTCTGCGCCGCAAGAAGAGGATAAGGCAAGGATGTTATTTGGGAGCAGACATGTAAGTTTTTGTATAGAAGTATAATATTGTATACAGGATGTCCCAAAATCTTATGACAGTACCTCGTATGTACAGTAGCGGACAAAAGTTTGGAAATCTTTTCAGTAATTTTTAAAAAGTTAGCTTATTTTTTTATTCTTTATTATTAAGGATTATTTTTTCACATATAGTTTGCTTACAGTCATTAGGATACAAATGACAATTTGTGTTTGCTGTGGTACTATATACTAGCATTAAAATACCTTTATATTATTTATGACCGAAAATGAGACGACAAAAGATTTAAAAAATAGCCTTTAGCATTCAACACTGCCTGACATCTGCTGCTCATAGAAGACACCAATTTTTTACAGACGTCCGGTGGTATATTTTGCCAAATATTTTTTACATGATCAAATAAATCGCTCCTATTCTTAAAAGTGTTTCTTGTCAGTTGTCTTTTAGCATGCTCCCAGAGATGTTCTATAGAGTTTAGGTCTAGAATTTGCGAATCCCCCGTAAGAACATAAACATTTTTTAGTCTTAAACCAGTCCTTTACGAATTTTGAGGTATGCTTGTGGTCATTATCTTGCTGGAATGTCCATCGTAAAGGCATTTCTTCTTCAGCAAGAGCGAGCATGGGTTCACTAAGATTATCTTTGAAAAGTTTTTGATCCATTTCCATCGTTAGATACAAACTAGTTAAATTTGCTTTCATTGCTAGACTTTTGTTAAATGAGAGGCTTTTGTACTGGACGCCTACCGAAAAGCCCAAAATCCACCAAACGTTTCTGCACTGTTCTGTCAGAAAGATTCTCGGCACCTTCTTCTACGATTCTTTTGAAAATCTGTGTGACTGCCATTCGAGGATCTTCATGGGACAAGTGTTTAATGTATCGATCCAAACATAATCGTTTTTTTTTCTGTCTTCCGCACCTGGGCCGCGTTGCTGTTGATCCGTATTCTTGATATTTACTTATAATTTTCGAAATCGTCCTCTGACCATTTTTAATTTTTGAGAAATGTCAACATTTCTGACCCCACTTCTAAATAATTCAATTACTTTCTCTTAGATCTTTTAAAAATTCTTTTACTTTTGCCATTCTCACTGATATTAATATTTACCGGACGCAATATCAGAGTATCGCGAAACGAATAAATACGGCAAAACTGAAATGCTTCCATACATTTTTCGTTACAAAAAATGTATTTAAAAAAAACGCCGTGTATTTATTTCCAGAGAAGTTGAATATTGAAAAGATAAACCTTGTACGGTGCCAAAGGTAGACTTTAATATTTATATTATCTGTTCCTTCACATTTTAATTTGATATATGAAATAGTTCATAATAATGTTAATATTTGTTTCCAAACTTTTGTCCGCTACTGTATATCTAACACAAAAAACAATTACATTTTGAAAAATTTTAAAAACCCGACTGCTGTAACTGAAATCAATGTATTTTTAATTGCCACTATTAAGACGAATCTAAGACACCTCAAATGTCAAAATTCATAATAGATACCCACGCGTGAAAAACATAACCCTCCATCTGAGGCAGAGCGGGTAACTCCACAAGTTCATATAAAAACCTCTACGGTGATAAATGTACCTTAGGGAAAACGGTTTTTCTTCAACAAATACGAATAGATTAGGAGCCAAACCTATATCTAACATTGCAATGTTTTTCGTATAAATGGCGTAGTTTGCATGCTTTTAGTTGATTTGACTACCACTGCTTACCAAATGACAACCTTGTATCAACATAATAGTACTTGCCGGTGGAAAGATCTATTTTCATTGCTGCTCACTGCAAATTATGCAAGAGTACCATGTCCTCAAATCGTCTAACACCACAATTATCTGCAAACCCTCGCACTTTTAAAAAATAAGACTAATGACGGAGCTGTCGAAAAATTAACTTATGTCAAGTCCACTTTCATCGTCACTGCATGCTGAGATTTTGGAAACGAACAAATCCCATGTCTTTTTAGCATAAAAATCGTAGGATATTATAATTGGAACTTGTGGAATTATTTTTTTGTGTTCTTTATGTATACAAGAGATTTAGATTTAGGGGCACCTTGTATTTTTGCTCTAAATTGAAGGAGCTCGGTTGATTTTTTACTTCGGGGTTTTCACTAATGAAACACATGTGCTTATCAACAATTATACAATTTCAGGCCCCAGAAAACAGGAGTATAAGAAAAGGAGTGAGTGGCGTTTTCAAATTCGGTAAATGACGAAAGCTCAATAAATTTTAAACACACATGCTGTCAATTTTTCCGATCATGTATTATGAGATGTCCGATAAAGTTTGTGATGCATATCTTTATAAGTATTATTCAGTGTTTGAAGGTATTAGGTATAATTTATTGAAATGTGATAGCACATTAGATCAAATTTTTTGGATTTTTGCATATTTATTCATATACATTTTAAACATTATTGTACAGTAAAATAAAAGTATTCAGTGATGTTAATATTTGTTTAAAAACATTTTTTTTTTTATTTATGAGGGTAGATTCATGTCTAATCTACATAAAAATGTTAATCCGTAATAATAAATGCATGCATTTGCGTCACTCGACAAATTTTATTTGTTCCAATGAAAGACATATACAATGTAAACAGAAAATAC